CATCTCACATACACAACAAAACCCCAAAAATAACCCAGAAGGAAGGCAGGAGGCCAGAGAAAGCAAACCCCAGGGTCCTTCTCGGCTCTCAAACCAGGCCTCTCCTGCTGCTTCTAACAAGACCTCCTGCCTGCTCTCTGCATTAATGGACCGGATGACCTTTTTGGCATCTCCAGTGGCTCTGTTGGCAGTTTCCCCATGACAGGCCAGGGCAGCGTCTGTTTATTTAATTCCACTTCTGCTGCCAGCGAAAGATCACACCAGGCTTTGGCTGCCTTTCTTCCATGGCTTTGCTGAGGCAGTATCAGAATCTCCTTCTCAAAAGGTTGCAGAGAAATGGGAAAGTGCTTTGATGGTGCCTTCCTGCATGGCAGAGGATCAGACTTGATGTTCATAGAATCGTAGAATCATAGAGTTGGAAGGGACCACAAGGGCCATCCAGTCCAACCCCATTCCGCCATGCAGGAACTCAAAATCAAAGCATCCCCGACAGATGACCATCCAGCCTCTCTTTAAAGACCTCCAAAGAAGGAGACTCAAACACAACCTCCGAGGGAGTGAGTGTGTTCCATTGTCAAACAGCTTTCACTGTCAGGAAGTTTATCCTAATGTTCAAGTGGAATCTCTTTTCCTGTAGCTTGCATCTGTTGTTCCGAGTCCTATTCTCTGGAGCAGCAGAAAACAAGCTTGCTCCCTCCTCAATATGACATCCCTTCAAATATGTAAACAGGGCTATCAGATCCCCTCTTAGCCGTCTCTTCTCCAGGCTAAACATACCCAGTTTCCTAAGTCTTTCTTCATAGGGATTCATGGTTTCCAGAGCCTTCACCATTTTAGTCGCCCTCCTCTGGACACGCTCCAGTTTTTCATCCTCCTTTTTGAATTGTGGTGCTCAGAACTGGACACAGAATTATTCCAGGTGGGGCCTGACCAAAGCAGAATACATTTCTCCATGTTGAAATTCATTGTTCTAGCTTTGGCCCAGCTTTCTACTCTATTAAGGTCATTATTAATTTTCATCCTGTCTTCTGGGGTATTAGCTGTTCCTGCTAATTTGGTGTCATTTGCAAATTTGGTAAGCATGCTCCCAATACTGTCATCCAAGTCATTAATAAAGATGTTGAATAGCCCTGGGCCCAGGACAGAACCCCACTGGACACCCCACTGGTCACCTCTCCAGGATGAAGACGAAGAGGAGCCATTGATTATCATCTTTTGGGATCCTTGAGCTACTTTCCAACTCTAGGACTCTAGGATTTTAAGTGTTCTTTGGTTGGCACTTTTAGTAAGACAACCCCCCTTTCTCTGAATTGCAGATTTAGACACCTAGGAAAAAAGTGGGAAAGGATGGGAGTTCTTTGATTGTATTTTCTTGCATGGCGGGGGTTGGAATAGATGGCCTTTGGGGTCCCTTCCAACTCTAGGATTCTGATTATAATTGTTGTGTGATTGCCATTTTTAATAAGACACTACCACCACCTGCAGATCCACACCTTGAGACACCTAAGAAGAAAAGT